GTTAGTTAAACTTCAGCTTAAGTGTTCTTTTCTCTGAGAGGCCTTCCTTGAACCCTGGGCTTGGGTTTCTTCTGTCAGTCTTCCTCGTAATTCTTCCTCCGTGATGCTGATCGCAGTTTGCAGTGGCCATTTACCTATTTCTCGCTCGTCTTCCCCACAGTCCAGAAAGCTCATGAAGGCAGGGTCCAAGTTTGTCTCTTTCAGAGCCCTGTCCCTCGCTCCTAGCAAGATGCCTAGCACAGAGTAGGGGTTCAGTCCATGGGTTTCTGTGGAGATTAATGAAACTCCCAAGGCCATGTCTGGTACCTGGTAGGCAGCCATACATGTTGGTTTCTTCGCTCATTGTGAACAGTGTTCATTTGGATCTTGAGACAAACAGGGAGTGAAGGTTCAGAGGGTTGGATGTATCCAAGGTCATTGGTATGTAGCGCTGCCATCACTTCTGGCCGAGTCATTCTACTAAACCGAGCCCCCCGGGGGAAATGATAATAATCAGGATCGTCATTATTAGAATGATGATAAAAACTATGGCAGCTGACGCTATGTACTGCTTCCTGCGGGCCAGCCACCGTTCTAAGCACTTAACTGCTCCTCACAACAGCCTTGCAAGGAAAGGACTGTTATGGTCCCCACTTCACAGTGAAGACGCGAAAGTGTGGAGAGCTTACTAGTAAGTCACTTGCCCACAGCCCCTCAGCTGGTATCAGGTGGGGCAGGGACTCAGGCCCAGGCAGCCTGGCTCTGAGTCTGCTCCGGAGCCATGCCCGTGCTGCCTCGAAGGTTGGAAGCCGGCAGGTTGACTGGGTTAGTCAGTGCTGCTCAGGTTGTAACTGGCCTTGTCTCAGGAAGCCCTGGATACAAGCCCCTTCTGTAATTTCCAAGCACAAAACAGGATCTTTTATTCATCAGAAGGAGGCGGTGTGGTGTAGAAGAAAGCTGGGAAGGGGAAAGGAGATAATATGTGCCAAATGTCTAGCAAAGAGATTCCGGAAGACGGAAGATACAGCACATAGTGTTTGCAGCTCTCTGGATCCCAACCAAAACCACACAATAACCAGATAAGAAAATGTTTAAATCCAGAGAAAACATTTACAACTACACAAGGGGATAAGGTGTCCCCATGAGTCCCCAAATACAGTCCATGCCCACCTGGCATCCATGCAGGAGAAAGCAGTGGGAGATGCCCAAGTAGTTCACAGGTATCCCCTGCAAAGTCCAGTAGACCAATTTAACATGAAAGCAAAAAGCAATTTCAGAGACAAATACTCAAGAGAAAGGGAAGCTGAAAATAAAAGTTTTACAAATAAAAAAACAAAAGGGATGAAAAGGCTTAAAGAGAGAGTGACAGATATTGAAGGCAGGCAAAGAAGATCTAACATACCAATAATAGAAATCTCTAAGGAACTCACCCAAAATAAGGGAGAAAGTAAATACTAACAAATAATAACTCAAAAAACTTTACGGAAACATTTTTTAAAAATTGAAATTCCATATTGAAAAAATACAACATACCCAAACATACCTATTCAGAGCAACCAACATCAAGACATAGGCCAGGTCTTTGAAGCTGCCCCTGAAGTGGCAGGAGACAGCCACGAACCCTGCTGCCCAGAGAACCAGGCAGCCCAGCAAGCTGGGCTGGATATTGAACCTGAGAGAGAAAGGGGTTCGTCATGCGGATGGCCTAATGTGACTCCTGTATGAAAAGTTACCAAGTGTTGAAGGGCTCATGCTCTTCTGTCTTGATGAGGCGGAGCGCCTGTTATTAAGGTGACCAATGATATTGCTCCAGAGCCTCCCTTGAGATCTGGTTTCTTACCTGCTTTTGCCCTTGCAACAGGCCAAAGGAGCAAACTCGGACTTTCAAAAAATGAAAGTCTCACCTGCTATTCTAACACCGACCAGGTGGGTCAATGTAATCGTTTGCCTTTGGTGGTGAGTTTCATAGCCAGGGGCAGTGCCGATGCAGGACTGACTGTCCGCCTAGAAGAGGAGCTGGCTCCACTAGTTGAAGAATTGAGACAAGTTGGAGAAGTTTCTTAATCTGACAGTGGTTTGATGTCTACCTCATCTTCATTATAACAGACATGATAGCAATCTTTAGACCACAATAATCCGGGTGTCCTTATACTCAAGAAAGGGCCCCTTTTCTAACTGACTCTAAAGAAAGTCTTTAGGTATAGTTTATGGACAGATTTATATATATATATATATATATATATAAATATATATATATATAAATATATATATATATATATAAATATATATATATATATATATATATATATATATATATATATATATGATTTTATTTTTATTAATTTCAGAGAAGAACGGAGAGGGAGGGAGAGAGAGAGATAGAAACATCAATGATGAGAGAATCATTGACCGGCTGCCTCCTGCACGCCCCCTACTGGGGATCGAGCCCGCAGCCCCGGCATGTGCCCTTGACTGGAATCGAACACGGGACCCTTCAGTCCACAGGCCAATGCTCTATCCACTGAGCCAAACCAGCCAGGGCTATCTTTTCTTGTGTAGATTTTATTTACTGAGATCTGGGGAACCACAGAAATGGTTCCGTTTATCACAGTTCCTGTGGAGTTAGTCCAGTCACCAAGTCTGCAAACTCAATGGTACTTGGTTCCACTTGAGCCATGAAGTGCTCCTCTTGCACAGCACAGCCGGGCCTGCAGAACGAAGCAGGTCCTTTTTATTGTGAATAATAATGAGGACATATTTCTTCATGTTGTTTTCTTTCTTTGCATTGAGTGTGGGGGAGATAAAATAGCTTAGTAAAAGTAATAAAATCAGGACCACCACTAAAGATAACATAGTCTAATAAAATCATTGGACTTTAAAGAAAAGAGAAAGCAAACTATGGGCATCGAGGCAAAACCAGCAAGTAACTTTTAAGGGGAAAATTATATTCTCATCAGACTTTTTCACAGCAAGACTTTTGCCAGGAAAATATGAATAATTAGAATGCTCAAGAAAATAGAAGACTAGGACCTTATATCCAACAAAACCGTTTTGTGTACAGAGAGTACAAACTATTATCAACATGCAAGCATTAAAAACAGTTACTCATAGAACTGCAACTAGATGAGTGTTACAAGAAAAAGTACAGTAGAATTGCTAAGTGCTCAGACAATGTAGATATAACACATCTATTTAAAATTAGTAGGTAGAACGGAGAGAACATAGTCCCCAAATATGCTTTTTAGGTAATTAATGGTGGCAATTTTACTATTGTTCTGAGACTACTGTGTGGGATAAACTAAATAAATAATTTTAGGACATTCTATCATCGCCTGTGTTCTTAAGGACCAGGATTCTGATATGGAAGAGAGGAGATTCCTTTGTAAAAGAGTCGAGATTAAGGAAAGTAATTGTGTGGGCCTTGTTTTTGACTCAGTATGAACTCATGTCCACTGCAGCCCTGGCTGGTGTAGCTCAGTTGGTTGTGCATCTTCCCGTGCACCAAAAGTTGACCAGTTCGATTCCCGGTCAGGGCACATGCCCGGTTGTAGGCTCAATCCCTAGCAGGGGGCATGCAGGAGGCAGCTGATCGATGTTTCGCTCTTTCTCTCTCCCTTCTTCTCTCTAAAAATCAGTAAAAAATCTTTTTTTAAATGTCCAGTGCAGAGGCCTAGAAACTGACCAGCTCAGTGGCATTGAGTGTCCCTGGTATCTGGATTGTGATTTTGAAATACTATTTCCACTAAAAAAATAGAAACAAAATTAAAAACCAAACCCGAGACTTCTTGGAGAAATCGCTGGGGCAATAAAGCCACAAGCTGAGCTGGACCACCTTGTCAGAGCAGAGTCTCCAATTCTCCTGGGACCAACCTGATGTCCCTCTGGCCGAAGACAAGAGCACGTGAGCTCCAACAAAAGATAATAATTGCAATGGGTTGGAATTCATCAGATAGTTGAAGTCCTTGATTTCACACTGATATTTAAATCACCCGTGGTTAACACCTGGATATGATAGCGAGCTGGCTCATGACCCTGGAAACTGGTAAACAGTGGGGAAGCATCAGGCCCAGATCTTGCTCTGTGAACCACACCCCCTGGAAACCAGCTCGCATGTGAGGGGAAGTGTTTATTGCAGAAGTTTTCCAGCCAATACATGCAAAAGAAACAACAGACTCAGCACATCAGCGTTTTCCAATCCCCGGTGAATCAGTGCCCCTGAGCACAAACAGCTGCTGACGTCACAGAAAGGAAGATGACCAGACAACACGTGCCCCCTGATGGGAGACATGCCACCCACTACCATCTGGCCCAAGGGGCTGGGCCTGCCTCTGACCCGGGCCTGGGTCAGCGACCAGCGTGCCGGCAATGCAGGGGCCCGAGGAACATACTGAGCCCGCGAGGCCGCAGTCGCCGAGGCCAGATGTCGGAGGCTCTACGGCTCAGACACTTCTGTTCCTTAGCAGATCAATTGTGGGAAATGAGGATGGAGAGGAAGCCTGTAGATCAGTGGTTCCCAAACTTATTTGGCCTACCGCCCCCTTTCCAGAAAAAATATTACTCAGCGCCCCTGGAAATTAATTTTTTAAAAATTTTAATAGCAATTAAACAGAAAGATATATGCCCCCAAATGCACCTGTGGCCATCACCGCCCCCCTGGATTGTGCAGTGCCCACCAGGGGGCGGTAGCGCCCACTTTGGGAATCACTGCTGTAGATTAAAAAGGACTTAAAAGACATAAAAATTGTGCTCTGGCTGGTGTGGCTCAGTTGTTTGGGCATCATCCTGTGCACCAAAAGGTTGCCATTTCAATTCCCAGTCAGAGCACACGCCTGGGTTGCAGGCTTGGTCCCCAGTAGGGGGCGTGCAGGAGGCAGCTGATCAATGTTTTGATCTCATGTTGATGTTTCTTTCTCTCTCCCCTCCTTTCTCTCTAAAAAAATCAATAAAAAGACATAAAAAAGTTTCGCCAGACAAGTCCAAATTATTGTGTCTCGAGATTGCACACTTGTGTGATAGAAACTATGATGAAACCCAGGTAGGCGACCGCCAGGGAGTCAGGGCGGGCTTGCTGTGGGCGCAGGAGGGGTGGCCTGGGGCACGTGAAGGCCTCAGGTGGCTGGTGAGGCTCTCTCTCTGGCCTGAGTGGTGACTAAGGCGTTTGCCTTATAATACTCATTAAAGTATAGCTTTGCTTTGTGTATCATTTACGTTAGGGTTTTATTTTACACTAAAAAGATTTTAAAAATATGTCTAGCACGATGCCTGGAGCATAGACCTGTAACACACTGTGCCCTCCTCCCTCCTCCCCTCCCGTGAACTGTAGACTGACTGTGTGCTGAGCACCGAGCTGGTTTATATCCGCTCCCTGGTTTGTGACCCCGTGACCCGCCCGACTGAGAGCTCCATGGAGGCAGGGCTCCCCTGATGCCCCGCGGCCTGGCCCCCGGCAGGCCCTCAGAACAGACTTGCTGCGCGAGTGAATGAATGTGTGTGTCCGCTGTTGTAGGAACGAGCTCAGTTCTCAAGAGCAAAGCCTGGCTATCCACAGACACGGGCCGGCCCTGCCCTTCGGGGCCTGTCCAGGGCGTAGGAGGGGCCCCGAGGCATCCTCAGGGAGCAGCCGGGCTGTGGAGGCTCTGATGGAGCCGGCTGTGGGCCCGCAGCCCCACCTGGCCGCCTCCCGCCCTCCCAGGCCCCATCTCCGTGAGGGCTGGGTCCAACCTTCCCATCGCCTCCCGTGCTCTGTCCTCAGGCTCCACCAGGAGAAGACAGACACCGTCCGCTGCATCAAGTCCTGCCGCCCCAGCGACATCAGCTGCATGCGGGACCTGGTGCACACCGTCTCCCACACCGTCGTCTCGCTGCCCACCTTCCGCGAGTTCGCCCACCCAGAAGGTAAGCGGCAACCCCAGTGCCTGGAATTGGCTTGGGGGTCCCCAGGGAGGCCATTGTCTAGGGAAGCTCTCTGCAAGGCAGCCACTCCTGGGTAGGATGTGGGTTTGGGGTTTGAAATGTAGCCCTCTCCCCGACCCCCACATCTCCTGTCTGTCCCCAGACCGCATAGCACTGGGCGGCCCAACCCCAGCCCTCTCCAGCTCCCAGGTCAGGGCATCGTATAGGTAACAGTCACTCAGCAAATAGCGATGAAGTGTTGACTCAGTGCCAAATGCTGGGGAATCTGGGAGGGCCTCCAGGAGGAGGTGACTTTTACTCTGGGGCCTGAGTGGTCACTAGGAGGGAATCTGGTGAAAGTGGAGAGGAGGGTGCCGAGCAGAGCAGAACCTGGAAAGGCCTGCGGGTGAATGGGGAGTGTGGGCACCTGAGGAACTAAGCTTGGTTTCCTGGCTGGAGCAGGAGGCTGGGCAAGGCATGAGCTGAAGCGGGGAGCCTGCTAGGGACCCACCCTGGATGGGGGGATAGATGGGCTGGAGCAGCTAGATGGGTCCAGGGAGCCAGTGCTCCCGTGCCCACCCCTGCCCGCAGGGAGCTCCTGGCCTGCCCACCCATTCACTGGGACGGAGCCAGGGGCCTTGCCCCCAGTGCCCAGCAGACTGCGAATGCGGCCCTGCTCTGTACACCTGGCTCTGGGGGTGTAACCCACATGCCGGCGCTGGCGTGATCTCAGCCACCCCTTCTTCTGCATCCTCGGCCTCCGAGGAGCTGTCACTCAGCAAGCGGAGGCCGAGCCTCTGTGTCGGGCTCAGGGCCAGTCCCTGGGCCCGGGATGAGGATGAACTCTCTGCCCGCTCCCCTCCCCCCCCCCATGACCACACCCTGCGTTTCCACATGTGAGGCCCGCAGGCGACCAGGTGCGGGCCAGCACGTCGGCCTGGTGTGGGGGTGGCGAGGGCAGGACCGCCTTCCGAGGACGAAGGAGCAGGTGGCCGGCCCGACCCGCTGGCTTGCTCCGGGAGGCACGGAATCTCCGGGAGGCGCGGACTTGGTCGGAGAAGGTCACTGACGCATCTGCCTCGAGCAGAATGCCGGGTCCCGCCAGACGGCAGGCAGATACCCCCAAAGCCCAGCCGCTCTGTGGCCTCGCCGGGGCGCGTCTAAGTCGGTTCCGAGGGGAGTTGGCTGTGGCAGAGACCCTGTTGGCCTCTCGGGCCGGGAAGTCCAGACCTGGGCCTGGGGTGCTGACAGGCCCCGTAGAGGGCACCGCCGGCATGAGGATACTGAGCCCACAGAGGACGCCCGGAGCTGGCCCGGAGCCGGTCGGGGCGGCCTGTGCTCCAGCCCAGGGCAGCTGCCCCGCCTCTGCCAGGTGGTCTGGGAGATGGACAAGGCCACCCAGCTGCCCGGCCCGCCCAGAAGTGGCTGCCCACCCGTCACCGTGGGCAGGAGACAGGCTGCCCCTCGCCTTCCTGACCCTCGCCCGTCCCCCTCGGGCACCTGCCTTCCCGTCCCCCTGCTTCAGGAGATGCGTGAGTGACGACCAGTTACTGCTCGGTGCTGGCCCTGACCCGGGGAAAGAGCCGGAACCTCTCCAGGCCTCGGTTTCCCCGTGGGTAGGAAGTGCTGTGACCCCTCGGCACCCCCCGCCTTCTCCGGGCAGGGGCCCTGTTCCCGACGAGGGCTCGCTGCCCGCCGGCATAGGAGCCGATACTATGGCACCGGCTTTGAGAAAAGCAAGAGCTTTCATGTGCGAGTTCCGCGGGCCAGGAGGCAGGAGGTGGGCTCACACCTGCCTCCCGGACCCGGGCTCAGGGCGGGGCCTGGGGGTCCGGCTCTGGGGCTCCCTGCTCAGGGTCCTGCCTTCCTGGTGAGTGGGCTCGCGTGTGACTCGTGGTGGGTCCGCGTGTTCCTGGTGAGTGGGCTTGGTGTGACCGTGAGTGGCCACGCCTTGGTCGGGTTGGTATGAAGCGGGCGGGACAGCTGCGCCAGCCCCACTCGCAGTGGCTGGGGGTGGCTCTCAGAACCGAGGGTGGATTGGAGGAGCCGCGGGCCCGGCGGCCCCCCCACACTGTGCTCCCTCCACAGAGATCATCTTCCTCCGCGCCGTCATGCCCGCGCACCCCGCCAACCACGCCGACATCATCTTCGACATCACGGAGGGGAACCTGCGGGACTCCTTCGACATCGTCAAGCGCTACGTGGACGGCATGACCGTGGGTGAGTGGCCGAGACGTCCGGTCCTCCCGGCCTGCGTGCCACCCGGCGGGAAGCTTCTGGACCAGCCCAGCTGCCCGCTGAGGCCTCTTCCTAAGCCCGCTTCCACCTGTCCCTCAGGGCCCGGCTGGCACCCCAGCCCCAGCTGGTCCCGCACCCACAGGGCGCCCAGGTGGCAGGGCTCGCCTGGGGCCCGGCTCACTGGGCGTCTCACAGCCGCGAATGTCAGGCAGATCACGGGTGAAGTGCTCGTCCCAGGCTCGGCACAGCCCCCCACTCTCTGTGAGCCGACGTGATTTTATTCTCGGGGTGCAGTGCAGGGAGTGTCACTCGGGGAGTCAGGCCTGCGCTGTGGTCTCACCCGGAGTTGGCTGGCCTTGCTGATGTCTGTGTGTCAGTCGGAGTGTGCGTCACGGAGCCCCCATATGCGCAGCCCTCTGACGGGGGGCCCTGGAGAGTCAGGACCATGGGCGCATGAAGGAGGCAGGGGAGGGGGACTGCTGGGGAGGGGACGGCAGGAGAGGGCGGCTGCAGGGGCAGGAGGTGGCAGCTGAGCGGAGTCTCCGGTGCAGAGGGAAGCTGTGTGAGTCCCTGTGTGAGCTGGGGAACCTGGCTCACAGTATCTCCCAAACTGTCCCGTTTTACAGAATTTAAGCTCCGGGCATAACGATCGTAGCTGCCATCTGGGCTTAGAATAGACTCTGAACATTTTCAAAGCAGCTGAGCAGACAAAGGCTAGGCCCTGTCCTCCCCTGGGCCTCAGTTTCCCCATTGTGGATGGGGGAGGGGCGTGGGCTTCGTGGTCTCCAGGCCCTGGGTTCTCTGGGCTGGAGCAGAACCAGCCTCCCTGTGACGGCCCGGCAGCGCGCTTTGGGACATGGCCGCCAGGTGGCGCTGTTGGACCTCAGACCCGGCTCCCGGAGCCCGGCCCACCGTGGTTAAACTGGCAGTTATGCCCGTTGCCAAAGGGCCATTTATAGCAACTTTACAAGCTCTTAAATGGGTTCTCGAGTTGTAAACACGACTGAGTCATGGGGGGCTCCCCACCCCAGCCTCCTCCCCCGCCGGTTGGCAGCAGGCGTAATTAGTTAATTACAATTAATGCCCCATTAGCCCGCGGAGACGGGGAGGGGTACAGTGCCCTGTCAGCAGTCATCACTGTGCTGCCCGGGAGGGAGCCGCTGCCCCTGCCTCAGGGTCCCCCATTGTTAAGGAAGAGACCCTGGAGGAGCCTTTAGCCACGTGGGGTGAGGAAGGACCGGCCGGAGGAAATGGGGTGGGGTCTGTGCCGCCTGCGTGTGTGCTGGGAGGGAGGGTGGGGGGCACCCTCAGGGCACACACAGAAGCCACCCGCGCCAGTCCTGGAAACCGGGTCCTGGTGGGGCTCGGGCGGCTCTGAGCGGGGCTGGGCCTGCTGCCTGTGGAGCCCCGGCTGCCCGGCCGCCCGCATTCCTCCGAGGCAGCTGTCAGCGAGCAATGAAGGATGCGGTCCAGCCGTGAGAAGACTGCACCTGGAGCGCCCCAGGTTCTCGGCCTGACAAAGCCTCCCTCCCCAGCG